CAAATAACCAAAAGACGTATATCAATATGATATTTTTCTAATGGTGCAATGTGAGAAAATTAGTACTCATCGTTAAACTCATTCCCCAACCTAAAATGTATAAATCGAAGTAGCCTTAAATTCTTTGGTGGGTAATTGAAAAACTAAATTGCAACTCGTATAAGTCCAAAAGATCATTACCCATAATAAAAACGCAATTTTGTTGGATAAAGCCGGTGGCTGTTGAATGGGAAAGCGAAGAATACAATGCAATTGTGAGATTAGAGTTGTTGCTGTTGTCCCACATCGCCCAAGTCATAAAGAGAAGCTGGTGGAGGGATTATAAAATGGACCATTGTTATCCCACATCGCCCAAGTCATAAAGAAGAAGCTGGTGGAGGGATTATAAAATGGACCATCAACCCAAACTTAAAAGCATACCAGAAAATCATTACCCTTAGCGATAATATCGCAATATTTGTGATATTATCGATAATATCGCGATATATGGACGATAATTAAGGGATAAGTGTGAAAATATCGGTATCTAAAAAAAACGACAATATCGGCGATATTTCGCCGATATTATCGATATTTTGGTCCTTGGTCACCATTAGAATATTTAGAAAAGTAATTTGATGCAATTTTGGTCGGAAGATTCCCTGAAATTGACACTGGCTTCTTGTGATTAATAATTGTAATTTCACTTAAGATGAACACCACGTCTTAATGGTTGCATAGTTTTTCAAAGGGTTTTCATAAAGCATAATGAGTCTCTCATGTTCAGATTTGATCCGAACATCCGGACGGGTTGTGTTGTCCCCGTCCCAAATCTTACATTTTTACAAAATTTAAAAGTGTGATTTTGCGAAAATACCTTTAGAGGCAAGGGTCTTGACATCTGTTGACCAACGTATAGCGAGGTGTATGAATTAATACTTAGCGTTTTCTTGAAGTACTCGATGTTACGGAATTATAAAACCGAGAAGTACTTTTGTTTAGTCGCTATTTATATATTTTATACATTTTTATAATGATATATTTTGTTTATCATTTAGAGATTTTAAAAATAGTTGAAGAAGAAGAGGAACAAGAAGGGGGGGTACGGGAGAGAGAACAGAGGGAAGGGATGCTGCCCAATCAGAGGAGAGGAAGAGAGAAGACTGCCCAATCAGAAGCAGAAGCGAGGAGGGAAAGGAGGGAGAGTGGAGAGCGGGGGAAAAAGGGGGAAACGGGTTCCCAACCCGTGACCCCTGTACACCCAGTCGAATTCTCCATATTTTTCGGTGGTTTTACACAATATTTCTCACGAATTTGGACCAAGAAACCATTCCCAATCATCCCCTAGTCCTTTCCTCTTCCATTCCCAATCAAATTTTATGGGATTTGAGCTTGAATTCAAGTAGAACAAAACTATGGGTTCCGAGGGTGCTATGACAAAATCCAACAATCGTGAAGGTAATCTAGCAAATTGCTACCACCACTAGACTCCCCTAGAACCCAGGAACAAAGCCCAATCAGTGGTGGAGGCGTCGGAACACGTTTGGAGGTCGAATCGAAGCACACCCAATTATAGGGTTATGACTGGTTTTGATGAAATTGGAGCCTTTCCAAGCCAAATTGGCATTGGTCACAGGTATGAAAGTTATTCTACTCATTGAGATCTTCAAATCTACAAATTTTGGTAATTTTTAGAGATAGTTGATTTTTCCGGCGAGTCGGGGCGGCCAACTGCCACCCACGGCGGCGCGGGTGGCGGCGCTTGGCTAGAGGGCAGCCAATACTATTTTTAGGCTATATTTGATGCCTTGAATTCAGTTTTGAGAATTGAATGACGTAGATTGATCGTTAGAACCAAAATTCTCTAAGATACGTTAATAGGCAATTATATGAATCGACGATCCGACCGTTGGATCGTCATCAAACTTTAATAGGTTATTATTCATAATATTTGAGGAATATGGGAACTTACGGATTGGGAATCCAACGTATGGATCTTCTCGAATTGGATTTGTAAGTTTGTAAAATAAAATGTTAACCGCCACTTGGTTTTCGCAATTGGCAGAGATCCGACCGTTGGATCGTTCCGAAACTTTAGTATGTTATTCTAGAAGCATAATGTGGATCCTTGAAAGTTACGGATTAGAGATCTGATTTGTAGATCTTCTGGACCGAATTACGTAGACTCATGTGCGATGTAAGTTATGTATTGTATTAACGAGAATTATGAGATATGGTTTGATAATTGGTCACAGGCGCCGATCGTTTGTGACGCCTCGATGGTTGTGCTAGGAAGTTGTAGCGCGGACTCCAGGTGAGTGGATCTTTCCTTGCTTATCATATTTTTCATGATTGATAATTCTATAAATGCTTTTAAATAAAACTGAGAAATTTATGCCATGACATATATATATATATGTGTTATAAAATACTATGAGATGGTTGAGTTTAGATTTCATCGTGATATATCCATATGTGTATTACTGTAAATAATTATTGCGAACTACGAATGGCTTGATCCCTGTTTAGGGCACGTAGGCAGTCAAACGAGACGTTAGATGCAACCATATAAGAAATGAGATTATATAATCGAGACAATAGCCTTGTTTAAGGAATTGAACAATGTGAGGGATATTGGTGAAAATGTGCGTTTTAACTTTATGTTTTGGTGGTTAATAGTTAGTACACTGTATTATATAATTGGAAATACTATGAAATGTTTTTATTTTAGATTTCATCATGGCATATCCATACGTATATTCCTTGCACATAATTATTGCAAACGCTCTGAAGTGCAAATGTGAACGCAGGACAAACAGGTAAGTTCATGTAAGTCCAGGTAAGTTCAGGTAAGTTTAGGTAAGTTCAAGTAAGTATACGGTATTAGTTGAATTGATGGGGTTATGATATGACTATATTTATGTTTTAAGCAACTCCGACACTGTCGTACAGGTTGCAATAGTAGGCAACTCCGGCATTGTCGTACAAGTTGCTTATGAGTCGTACATGTTGTATTAGATGCATTTAAAGCTCATAAACCTACACCCCGGTGTTAGTGCTCCCGCCCATGGCCAAGGCACAGTCCTTCACGTAATGTTCACCTCCCGCACCATACGCTCACCTTGAATTCAAGGTAGGTGCACAGGCCTGTAGTACAGACTACTATAGGTGGTTCCGACTCGTAGGTGACTCTTCACGTGATTGTAGCACTTGAGCGTATTCATTTACACCCAGTCATGTCGTATAGACCACTACAGTGGTTTCGACTCGTGTGCAGGCGTAGTGCCGTACAGGTCACTAGAAGTGACTCCGGCTTATGTGCTAGCAATGATTGATGAGCTATGATTTCAGTCGTACAGGTCACTATAGGTGGCTCCGACTTATATGCTAGCTATGATTGATGATATATATATTTATGATGAGATGCTAGCATATATTTGTGATGAGATATGTGATGAGATGCTAGCATATATTTATGATGTGATGTTAGCATATATATGATGATATATGATGAGATGCTAGTATATATTTATGATGAGATATGTGATGAGATGCTAGCATATATATATTTATGATGAGATATGTGATGAGAAGCTAGCATATGTAATGAATAAGAGACGAGCTAACATATGTGATGAATATATGATGAGCTAGCATATGTAATGAATAAGAGACGAACTAGCATATGTGATGGATATGTGATGAGCTAGCATATGTAATGAATACGTGACGAGCTAGCATATGTAATGAATATGTTATGAACTAGCATATGTGATGAGATATGTGATGAGATGCTAGCATATATTTATGATGTGATGCTAACATATATGTGATGATATATGATGAGATGCTAGTATATATTTATGATGAGATATGTGATGAGAAGCTAGCATATGTAATGAATAAGAGACGAGCTAACATATGTGATGAATATGTGATGAACTAGCATATGTAATGAATACGTGACGAGCTAGCATATGTAATGAATATGTTATGAACTAGCATATGTGATGAGATATGGGTTAGTTGTACAGGTCACCCTAGGTGACTCCGACTTATGTACTAGTATGAGTTATTAATCGCATGATTATTTAATATTATTGATAAAATACCGTGTTGTGGTATATTATGAATTTTCTGGAAACTATACAAGCGTCGTAGTGAGGGGTTATAATGTTTTGCATGGTTTCTATTAAAATTTTACTTACAGGGCCACTCACCATTGTCTTGTCTTCACCCTCCAGGTTTTATTAGGTGAGCTTTCTTATCGTCGAAGATTCGTGGCGATTCTTAGTATTGGAGATTATTTCGAGGGTACGATTCTTAATTCACTATTCTGTATTTGCTTATACTCTAACGTCACGTGTGAAGTGGGTTCATTCCCGCTCACTGGTGCACTTTGGTATTTAGGCACTTTTAGGTTTAAATTTATTCACAATCTTCCACATCATCACATTTTATGGCTTCGTCACCTCCCAGGTGTTGGCTAGCACAACTCGATTTGGAGTCCTAGTGGACATTCCGGGTCGGGGTGTGTCAGGTTGCATGTTAGATATATGTTCTATGTTGGAGGTTCCAAGTATAATATAAATTAGGAAAACCTAACCTTCAAAGTGGCATGTGTAGATCATAAGTAATTGGTAAAAATTCATAGGATTGCTAGGTGATGGTGAAACCCTAGTGTTTTTCTAAATTGGTATTTAAAACTCTTTTATTTTGTCGTAATAATTTTGGGCAAATTTATCATTTGTTTTTAATATAACCTAATTTCAAAATCTCTTTTCTCAATTTTTAATTCTAAATAGTTGATTAGGAATTGTTTTTGCATAAATTATTAAAATAGTCATTGATGAGAACGACCTTGCATGAGTATCTATACTACAACATCCTTGTATTCTTGCAAGTATTTCATGTGATTTTAACCCTATTTGCGTAGGTTCTAAAAATCCTATCAGACAACAACTATACTAAAGGAATAATTTTATTCTGTAATAACTAATTACACTGATGATGCACTTCCATTTAAATTAATTCTCTATAAATTTAAACTGGATTAATTTAATATTTTTTGTTTATGTTCAAATTTACAATGGTAGGCAAAAATGTCTTATGAAGACTGGTTAGGGTCTACCAGGACTTCTTCATATTTCCATTCATGGGCTTTCCATTCTGGCAGCTGTTGGACAACAACCTGAAATTAATCCAAAAAGAAAACAATTACTAAAACATTTTGTCTTATAATTTGTTAAAACATGTTTTATACACGAGCGATAGTCTAAACTACTTTAAGATATAGAAAGGAGGATCCGATTACGAACTCAGTCCTAGAGGACGGACAAATTGTCTTGGCCTAACTCATATTTGCAACTTTTTCAAAACATACCAGCCCTCTAGAGTCAGGTTTCCCAACTGTGGTTTGGCAAGCAAGTCTCCAATTTTTTGGTTTCTGCAAGAGTCCATTAATTAACAGGATTGTCAGCCTTCATTACAATTTTTTGTTAAATCACCACCTCTCAAGATCACATCGTCTTAACTTTAATTAATTAGTGATTTAATTGATCCACTTAAGTAAAATCAGTTTTCGAACGCAGATGATACCTTTTTAAGGTGTTCCTTCTCTTTGTCTGTGCGAGGGGTTAACAGCTCTTTTCCTTGAACAATCTAGCAGCAAAATACAACAAAATTGAAAAATTAAAATTAAAATTCTGTATTAAATAATAATAAGAAATTAAAAAATTGTAAAATCATTACCTCCACCATGCATGTCCCGCAGGTTCCTCCTCCAGCACAATTCAGCAGAACTCTACTCTGAACATTTACATATAACATATATAAACCTCCTTTTTTTGAAAAAAAATTATAAGAATATTAAGAACTAAGTGGGAGGCATACTTACGTATGGTCCGTACAAATCGATATTTGAATCCAACATTATATTCCTAAGTTTCTGTCCTCCACAGGCTTGACGAAGATGCACATCTGGTGTTTGGTCAGGAAGTAAAACTGACTGAAAACAGTGAATCAATATACAACACACAATTAAACCAATATACCCCAAAAAGAAGTTTAAGTGATGGGGACGGGGACGTCATGCACAGAGAATTTCCATTAACATTTGTATGTAACGTACACTAACAAATGCGAAATCCACGGAAGGGGGTTGCTCGGGTTGAATGGCTTCAGATTGGCTCTCTTGGGATGTGCTAACTGCTCTAATTTTTGCTCTGGAGAAACTGATGAGGGGCTTGGAAGGTCTGAGAGTTGAATGGGAGTTGGTAATGTTGGAGTTGATCAAGTTAAATGGGAGGGAGCAAAAAGATGACCAGCAAGAGCTCAGTTGGAGAGCAACCATTTTTGATATATTTGAACTGAAATGAACTGGACGGATGATTTGCATGGGGTTTTGGTTTGTTTGCAGCATCGTGTGTGGTGGATCTTGCTAATTACCTTATCTCATTGATCTGAAGGATTTTTTTATAGATTTAAAAATGTTTACCTTATCTCATCGAGATGAAGGATTTTTTTATAGATTTAAAAATGTTTAAAAAACCGCTAGAAGGAGGGTTCGAACCTCCGACCTTGTGGTTAACAGCCACACGCTCTAACCAGCTGAGCTATTCCAGCTTGATGATATCAAGTGTAAAAGACCCATTTTAAATTCAGATTCCTTCCTCTCGACACATCACTTCTCCGTTCTTAGGATTTGCAACTCCTTCTGATTCTATGTAATTCCAGCAGATATTGTCATCGTTTTTAATTAAGATTTCTGGAATTATGTTTGGTATTTGGCACTCGGGATTCAATGATTTCTGGAATGTTTTTGTTAATTTACCATTGTATTTTGCACTCAGGATGCAATTTCTATATGCCAATCGGGTTCTCATTAGCATGACTACTTTTTCTGTATTATTGCAAGTTCTACAATCACTTTATTGATGTACAAATGTTAATAATAGTGATTTTCATGTGTGTTGAACAGTTCACTTTGCGTCCATATACTCGTCTTGGATTAGATAGGTCCGTTATTCCAAGTCAGGTGTCTTCCTCAGAATTCATTGATGAGTTAATTTCAGACATTCCGGAGGTTGTAGATGCTGCCCATTGTGTTAGTCAGTTGTGGCACCAGTCCGCATGATCAAACCAAGAGATAATGCAGTTTTGGTTGAAGAGCCATGGTACAATGAGAATACGCTTCCCGGTTGTTTGGAAAATGCAAGGAGAGATGTCTTGGAGATGGTTCTTTTAGGGACTGGATCATTTCAGACATCTAAATATCGCAATGTCACTTCTATCCGTATCAATCTTTTATCCAAAGGAGGTCTACTTTTAGATTGCGGTGAAGGAACCCTGGGACATCTAAAAAGAAGGTAACGTCGTCTGAATTTTTTCAAATACATTTACTAGTACTGAAATCCATTCCCCAGTTTAAGTACATCAACAACAGATATGGTGTAGAGGGTGCTAATAATGCTGTGAGAGATTCTAGCTGTATTTATATTTCTCATATTCAAGCTGATCATACCGGACTCTACAACGTGATTTGTTCAAGGGACTGCCGCACGAGCCATTACTTGTTGTTGGACCGATAAAGCTTAAGTTCTTTTTTGATGCATACTAGAGACTCGAACATTTAGATTTGCAGTTCCTTGATTGTAAGCACACCATAGAAGCATCTTTACTTGCTTTTGGGTGTTACTGAAGCCAATAGGGATTACTCTTCTCCCATAAGTCCAGCTCGTGTCGAGGACATGAGCATTAAAAATACAGATAGGTAATTGGCAGAGAGAGTTGATTCCAATTTATTTGCTAAAAGATCCCGTATGCAGAGCTATTGGAAAAGGCCGGGTAGTCCTATTGACAACAATGCAGTTCCAACTGTAAAGAGCTTGCAAAAAGTGCTTAATGAAGCTGGCAACCATAGCACAACGCAGGAAGCCATAGAAGTTGGAAACTCTGCGGGAGTTTATCGTATCATCCTCACCCACTTCAGCCAGCGATATCCGAAAATCCCAGTATTTGATGATATACACATGCATAAGACATGCATTAGATTTGACATTATGAATATTAACATTGCTAATTTTCCTGTGGCCCCAAAGGTACTTCCATATTTGAAACTGCTTTTTAGAGACGAGATGATTGTTGACGAGGAAGATGAGTTGATAAAGGCTGCAAGTGTGGCTTCTTGATACGAAATTACGTCGTCGTCTGTTGTAATTTCCTTATTCTTTCAGTACTCGTGAAGGGAATCATCAACAATGTTGGTGAAATAGATCATTTGTCACAAACTTCTGAATGTTGTGCATTATTGTTATGTAAAAGTGAATCTCAGTTCAATAATTTTTAAGATTCATAGGAATTTCAAGGGAAATTCTGATAGAAAATGGAATTGACTCAATGCAAGGGGAAAAAACATTTAACCTGTAGAAGCATTCATGACATGTCATTTACTTTTGATTCTTTTTTTATTTCTTCAATGATTCTAGACATCCCAAAGATGGGGAATGATACTAGTAATTATAAACAGGGTAACCACTAATGATTGAGGTAGACATCAGTTTGGGCCTGAGAGCCGAGAATGGGCTAACACAAGTTCGAAAGCCACAATCCTTGGCCTATTAATGATCTCTCGGACCAATGGGTTTCAGCCTAGGAAATGGCTGATTCAACCGAGTCCTCATGAAAGTGGGACTGTGAAAGGATTAAGTTCAAATGTGGCTTGGTCGAGTCCTTAGTGAACTAAAATTGCCAAGGATCAAAATGAAATCTGTTTAGATGTGAATTATTCTAAATATCAGGATTTATTCTTGATCATATAAGAATGTAGGAGTCACATAAAGGGACTAGATTCAAAATTTTGGTTTAAATCCAGAAGTCGAGACTGGATTAAGGTGAGTTTCGACTAAGGAAGGGATTAAAATGGACAAAGATGAATAGTCAGGTCAATGTTGAGTGACATAGTCCCATCAGGACTCTAGCTTGGCATACTGGTTTATCACAACGTCAATCCCTATAAATATAAGAGGTTTTGCAACATGGGAAACCCATTAACTTAACAAACAACTCAAAACGCTCCATGCAAGTTGTAGAATCAAGCAATAGAGGAGCAACGTCAGTTTGGATTACATCACTACTTATGTTTTGGTTGGTTATTTATCCAACTCTCACCGGTGAAGAATTCTTAATTCTTTTTCCCAAAGAGTGCACTTCATTAGCTCCTAGTGAAGAAAAGTGTTCTATGATTGGTTACTTTAAGGTGCATTTTACAATTTGGCATTCAAATGACAAAACCACATTGACTATAAAAACGCCCATCTCCTTTGAGTACATGTACCCTTACATATGGATATTGATTTGGCACACCTATATACTAAGGAATATAGTTGAGGCAGCCGAACTTGGTACAAGAGATCCTAAACTACGCATTGAATTAGGCAAACTTGTCTTCAGGTTCCAGAACCCTAGGCCGAGACATGTGTAACATTCCACATCGCCCAGGGGAGTGGATCATGTAAGCCGTATATGTATATTCTCATCTCTACTTAGCACGAGGCCTTTTGGGAGTTCACTGGCTTCGAGTTCCATCGGAACTCCGAAGTTAAGCAAGTTCGCAAGATAGCCATCCTAGGATGGGTGACCCACTAGGAAGTTCATGTGAGTTCCCAGAAACAAAATCGTAAGGGCATGGTCGGGGCCTAAAGCAGACAATATCGTGCTACGGCGGAGTCAAGCTTGGGATGTGGTGGGGGGCCCGGGCCAGGATGTGACAATTTGGTATCAGAGCCAATCCATGGCCGGATGTGTGCTGACGAGGACGTCGGACCCCTAAAATGGTGGATTGTAACATCCCACATCGCCCAGGGGAGTGGATCCTGTAAGCCTTATATGTATATTCCCATCTCTACCTAGCACAAGGCATTTTGGGAGCTCACTGGCTTTGGATTTCATCGGAACTCCGAAGTTAAGCGAGTTCGCACGAGAACAATCCCAAGATGGGTGACCCACTGGGAAGTTCTCATGTGAGATCCCAGAAACAAAACTGCGAGGGCGTGGTCAGGGCCCAAAGCAAACAATATCGTGCTACAGCGAAGTCGAGCCCAGGATGTGGTAGGGGCCCGAGCCGAGATGTGACACACGTCCATTCTTTAATGTTAGTCACTTAAAGGCAGAAGTCAACATTGCATTCGACACCACCATTACATCTATTCTACTCACTCGATCGAGCTCAGTTGTGAATTGGCACGCTCGCATTCACAAGAAAGACTTCCTTAACTCATAGTTATTCAGCCTGCGCGCCACGTAGTCTTTGTAATTTTTAAGATCAACAACATCACTACCTTTATATTTAGTTGCTTACAATACCTCACACACTACTATTTTATACTTCATGTTTAGTTCTTTTAATATCTCATATTTCTATTTTTTGTTTTTTTGTTTTTATTTTGCATTGATATATATATTTCATTAAGGGCCGAAGGGGAAGCTTTCAAAAACCAGACAGCAAATGTATTGAGGATTACAACGTTTAGACTCAAAGAAGTATAACTAATTACATAAGATCCTCAAAAATGAGGTCAGTGATGAATGATGGATGGTATACAAGCCATTCACATTTATCCCTAATGTTCAAGTTGTAATAAGCCATACGGTGAGCTATGGTGTTAGCTTGGCAACGTACATGGGTACATAAATCTTTAGTGATTGATGGAAGCCAGGATTTGGAATCTTCTATAATGTTGCCAATAGTAGGCAAATTATGAGAATGATCCGAGATGGCCCCTACAATCTGAAGAGAATCACCTTCAATAATCAAGCTTTGGAAACCCCTTGACCTTACCCTACCACACCACCTCTAAGAACCAAAGCTTTCGCTTGGAGATTGGAGAAAACATTCCTAAAGTTCTTGCAGAAACCAGCAACAAAAGTGCCACTATCATTTCTGATCACAACATTCGCCCTCCCTTTTTCCCCTGCATATTTCCTTCTCATTCTAAGCACCATCAAAATTCATCTTCAAACGATCGCTAAGAAGTAGCGACCATTTAATGTTGTTAAGAGCAGAAATAGGGGGAAATGGGGGGTCAGAGTTTACCCTAATAAATTCCTGCCACCACGAAATAGCCTAAGTCATTAACAAGTCAAGTGGATCACATTTATCATTCCAAAGTCTAGCATTTTGACAATTCCAAATCTAGACAACCATCATCACAATATCGAAATTGTGTGATGAAAGGTTGGAACTAGATCAGAAAACCAGTCCATCATTAAAGAAGGATCAGGCCATCTAGCAAATGAATCGAGTAGGGAGTAGGTCCAAGCACAGTGGGCAAAACGACATCTTTTGAAAAGATGAACTGAAGACTCCACATTTGAGTCGCAGAAAACACACGATACATCCATCGATATGCATTTCTTCACCAGACTCACCCTAATGGGGATGAGATCTCTACAAAGCCGCCAAGTGAAAATGTGCACTTTAGGGGGAACCTTTGCATTCCATATCTTTGATCATGTCCTAGAGGTGGAAGGTACTCCAACAGAGGACGAGGCACTATTTCGATAAGAGAAAGTCCAAGCCTAAGTGACGTGGTAAGTGGATTTGACGAAGAAGAAACCCATGCGCTTATGGTGCCAGATCAAAGCATTTTCCTTACCTGTGATACTCATAGGAACTGTTTCAGTGTTTGAGAAAATTGATTCAATCAAATCCACCCTCCACCCCATGGAAGCATAGTCAACAAGATCATGGACATTCTACAGAGTACATCCATCAGGTTTAGGGGATGAGATACGAAAGGTGGAGGGAAGTGGGATCCAGGGATATCTCTAAATGTTAACTGATGCGTCGTTTCCAATCATCTAGTAGACCCCACGCTTAATAACTTCTCGAGCAGCGCATAGGCTCCTCCAGCTAAATGAGCAGTTAGGTCTCACCACTGCATCGAGGAAGGAAATGGTTGGAAAATATTTCACCTTCAGTACACAGGTCAACAATGAATCCGGGGTTTTTATGATCCTCCAAGCTTGTTTAGCCAGCATAGCAAGATTGAAGTCATAGATATTCTAAAAACCCAATCCCCCCTCGAACTTATGTGAGCAGAGCTTGTCCTAAGCCAACCATTGTATTTTCTTTCCCCCCTTAGCTCCATTCCACCAGAAATTAGCAACGAGCTAGTTAAATCGTCATAGAGGTGTTTTGGTAGTAATAAACAACTCATAATGTAGATTGGGATTGAATGAGCCACAACCTTCACAAGGATTCTTTTTTTTTTTTTCCGGCTGCACTAAGAAACTTACCCTTCCAACACTAGAGGTGTTTTCAAAGTCGTTCCTTTATAAAGCCAAAGCACCAACTGTGGTTGCGTCTAACAATGGTAGGGATGCCCAAATACCTTTCATTTATGCTGACCCAATTAATCCTTATGACAGAAGCAAGTCCCTCTCTGGCCTCTTAATATTTTTACTAAAGCAAACTTCACTTTTATGGAGGTTGACTTTTTGACCAAAGGCCCTTTCATAGACATAAATAATATCCGTAATTTGGGTGCAATTCGACAATTTTGCACGGGTGAAAAGAAAACTGTTGTCAGCAAGCAGTAAGTGCAAGATCGATAGGGCTCCAGAACAAATGGTCAAGCCTTGGAACAAACCGAGCTCCTCCCTTCTAGCTATTAGTTTCGAAAGACCTTCTGCACACAATAGGAACAGGTATGGCGACAGCGGATCGTCTTGGCAAAGGCCTCTTAAAGGATGAATGTACCTCCTTGGGCTCCCATTAAAGATAAAAGAGTAAGTGATAGAAAAAACCGATGCCATAACCAGGTTGATCCACCGAGAAGAGAACCCCAACTTCATAAGTACACGGCGAAAATAGGACTACTCAATTCGATCATATGCCTTGCTCATGTCAAGCTTTAAAGAAAGAAAGCCATTTTTGCCCCTCTTCCTGTTAGATAGCGTAATAGCAACCTCGAATGCCATAATTGAATTGTTGGAAATTTGGGGCCCCAAGATGAAAGCCATCTAATGAGAGGAGATAATGGATGGCAAAGACTTTTGAAATAATTTTAGTAAGGACATTGTAGAGGCTAATTGGCCGAAGATAAGACATCTCTGTTGGTTTCTTCTGTTTAGGGATAAGGCACCCGCCTAGACCCGCCTAGGTTGCAACTCACTTAGACAGAAAATA